ATGTGGGGCTATCGACCACACTGTGGAAAATCGTCAACCAAAAAGACGAGGGCAAAGGCCAGATCCTTAGGTTAGGAATAGATGACCTATCCTGCCAACGGATCAAGGATAATGGATGCACTATCCACTATCGGTTCGGGAAAATCCCCGTACACGGCCTTCAAAAGAAAGAAGAAATAAAGGAACTGGGAGAAACAACAGAACCAACTCCTAGTACTTCCAAAGATGAGACTGATGTGGAGAGCCTAGAGAGCCTTAACCTCTCAAATCTCTGCGTAGACTCATCTGAGGATGTAGAAATTGATAAAGAAGCAGAAGAGGGGGGTATGGAACACACCCTCACCGATAGGGACAACATCCCCATTAAAGGAGAGAAAAATGGCGGACATCGACATCGCCCAAGTGAATGTCCATCACGCCAAAGGAGCCTCGGCTGTAATCTCCAGGACATTCACTAGATAATTGTGTTTACATTAGAGAGCGACATTCCTGAGACGATCCTCAGGAGGAATCCTAGAAAAACAGACTGGGACAAATACAACACCATTCTAAATCAAAATTTAGCACGTATCCAGACAAAAAAGAGGCCGGGGCACCCACTTGCTCTGGAAAGCGATCTCGAAGAACTAAATGGGGCAATACTTGAGGCATATGAATCAAGCTGCCCCATTCAAAGAAATAGAACTAGTAGGGATGCTCCTTGGTGGAATCGTCATCTGTCAAACTTACGATCCGAAGTGCAGAAGCTCTATAATAGGGCCAAGCACAGCGGAGATTGGCAGAGCTACACCAAGGCGCTTACTACCTACAACAAAGAAATCAGGAAAGCTAAACAGCTTTAGAAAATTCTGCGAGGATATTAACTCTACCCCTACGGCAGCGAGACTGCACAGGAACCTGGCAAAAGGGAGAGTTGATACAGTTATGGCATTAAAGAAACCAAATGGAAGCTTCACGGAGAGTGAGGAGGAAAGAGCTCGCCTCTTACTCGAAACTCACTTTCCTGGAAGCACACCTTTTCTAATAAGGGACACAACTAAGGTAAGCAGACCCCCAAGAGAGGCCGCTGTAGTGGCCAAACACATATGCAGCAGAAATCGGTTAAGGTGGGCTTTAAACACTTTTCAACCGTTTGTTTCCAGGTGTGGATGGAATATTTCCTGCCCTGCTTCAGCAGGCACAGGAGGAATTACTACCACATATAATCCGGCTATCCAGGAGCAGTCTGGAGCTGGGATATATACCAGAAGTATGGAGAAGGGCCAGAGTCACCTTTATTCCAAAAGTAGGGAAAAAGAATACCACACATCCTAAATCTTTCCGTCCAATCAGCCTCACATCCTTTGTAGGAAAAACAATGGAGAAGGCTGTTGATAATTATATTAGAACAGAAGTCCTGGAGAGGGTGCCACTCCGCCACAGCCAACACGCGTACCGAGCAGGAAGATCTACAGAAACTGCCCTGGTACAGTTGACTGATGTAATTCAGGATGCACTGACAAACAAAGAAACGGTCGTGTGTGCCTTCCTAGACATAGAAGGAGCTTTTGACAACACGCCACACGAATCTGTAAAAAGAGCACTTGCATACAGAGGAGTAGATAACATCACATCCAGATGGATGGCTCAGCTTTGTCTACAAGAACTGCAGAGACACAGATAGGGCAGGACACCATCTCCATCTGCACAACCAGAGGATGTCCACAAGGAGGAGTTCTATCCCCACTAATGTGGAGCCTAATCGTAGACGAACTTCTATGCAGATTGACTGACCTCGGCATACCCTGTCAAGGTTATGCCGACGACATAGTCATATTTGCTAGTGGCAAGTTTAGTAATATCCTGTGTGATATAGTCCAACGAGGACTAGAACATACCAAAACATGGTGCCGTGAAGTGGGACTTAGTATAAACCCTACAAAAACAACACTAGTAGCCTTTTCAAGGAAAAGAAAACTTAATCTCAAAACCGTTAAATTAGACGGGATAGATATAGAATGGAAAAATGAAGTCAAATATCTGGGCCTAACCCTGGACAACAAACTTCTCTGGAACACACATGAGAAGGAAGTAGTAAATAAGGCCACAAAAGCCCTAATGATATGCAGAAACATTGTAGGTAAACGATGGGGATGTAACCCAAACATACTGCGATGGATGTATACTGCAATAGTGAGACCAATCAGCACTTACGGGGCTATAGCCTGGAGTAACAGAACTAGTTTAGCTACTACGAGAGCTAATATCTCAAAAGTACAAAGACTAGCCTGTGTTTGCATTACTGGTGCAATGAGAACCTGTCCTACGGCCGCAATGGAGGTGATCTTAAACCTCACCCCTCTACATTTGATGATTGAGAATGTGGCAAAAAGGACACGATATAGAATGATCAGGAACGGAGTAATCAGACGAAAGTCTACTTGCTTCAGGACTAAAGATACCTGGGACATGCCTCAGGATGAAATGCAAAAGAAGTAGTTTTGTGAAAAACTTCAAAATCACAGAGCTGGGCTGCAAGAAAGAATGGAGCCAAGAATCCATCGCGCTTGCAACCGAAAGACGTGCTATTCAGTAGTATACGAACGGGTCTAAATTCATAGAAGGAACTGGAATAGGAGTGTATGGGCCGAGAACCAAGCACTCCGAAAGCTTGGGAAAATACCTAAGCATCTTCCAGGCGGAAATTCACGCCATCGAGAAGTGTATCCAGTTTAACATCGAGAGAAACTATCATAGACAAGAGATTATCATCATATCCGATAGTCAAGCAGCCATCAAAGCGCTGAGCTCTTACGTAATCATCTCAAAAATTGTCTGGAGATGCCTAAACAATTGAATAAGCTAGGCGAGAAAAATAGAGTTACTCTCACTTGGGTCCCGGGATATAACGGGGTACAGGGTAACGAGATTGCAGATAGTCTTGCAAGGAAAGGGGCTCAAAAACCCTTTGTAGGACCTGAGCTGTTCTGCGGTATCAGCAGTAACATAATATTAGGAGAGATTAAAAAAGAATTGGACAGTAAAAGAACCGATAATTGGAACAATCTCTTGGGGCTGAGACAGACCAAGATACTTTTGGGTGAATATAACCAGAAAAGATCGGAAGCCTGCATCTGCCTGAGCAAGAATAGGCTACGTATTGTAACAGGGATCCTTACCGGGCATTGCCGACTAAAAGGACACCTAAGTAAACTGAGAGTAGTAGAGGATAGTGAGTGCAGATTCTGTGAGGAGGAGGACGAAACCTCCATTCACATCCTAACTGAATGTGTAGCACTCCAGAATTCAAGGGCACTATATCTAGGAGGATATCAAATAGAAGAGGGAGATTTACCTAACTTGAAGCCACTTCAAATTCTACACTTCCTTGAGAAAATAGGATTGGAAGGGTCGCTATAGGCATTGAGATATTTCCTTAGTGCAGTGGCGATAGAAGGGGGCACAATAGATCTTTTAGGTCGCAGTGTATTAACACCCCATTCTCAACATAACATAACATGTCCACTAGACCGGCCCGGCATGGCATCGACCAACACCATCCTCATTTGAATCTATACAAAAAAAAATCAGGTCCGGAAACGGTCATAGTATGGTACGGTATAGTGGGCATATACTTATCGTGTTCAAATAATGAGACGATTAAACGAAAAAGGCTTACGAGAGCCAGTTGCCCTTTTTTGGTACACATTTGTGCTAGACAACTTTACAAATGTTTCCTTCTTTTTTCTCTTGTAGAAGATTGACACACCAGCCGCAATGATGGTATTTTAAAAAGCCACGACACATATTTGATTAGATAATTAACTTGATATAAGTGCCTTCAAGACTTTCCCAACCCGGATTCAATTACAAATAAAAATATTCTTTTTATTTTGGAAAAAATATGAAAAATACGACTAATGTTGTTTATTTATTTTAAATACATTTTATTTATCATAATATAACCCCTACAATTAATGCAATCTTTCTGCTAAATTTTGTATTATTTTGATAACAGTTCAGAAAAAAATAGTAGTAGTCGGTAACTGAACTTCACGAAATCCAAAGTTGAGCACTTAATGTCCTGAGCAATGAAGGTTTATGTCAATGTTAATTATCTAATCAAATATGTAACATTCGCATTTTCTATAATTTATTTTTTAAGACACCTTCGTTGAGCCGTGAGCGCTTCATATCACTGTAGGGCATGCAGAAAAGTATTCTTTGGATAGACAAAACTACGTTGATGAACTACGGTATGTTAAATAGAAAAAAATTACTCCTCATTAACCGCCAGTTCTCTTTAACACAACAGGTATGGCTCAGGTACGATTGCTATTAAATTTCTGGTACAGGAAGCAAATGTAACGAAACGGCCATTAATTTAAAAATAATTTTAGGAGTGTAGTTTTGGCAGTAAAAAGCATAATTAAAAATACAGGTCTGTATTAAAACAATAAAATTTATAGTGACCTTGCAATAGCAATAATAAAAAGTATCAAAACGTCCTAAATTACTAATGTCTATTACATGGTTGAATTAAGGAATAAAAGTACTTTTTTAAAATAGAATAAAAAATACAGGTTCGTATTCAAAAAAATATATTTGATAGTGGCCCTCCAGAAACGAAACCGTTGTATAAAAAACCTGTATACGGTTAATTAAGCGCTACTTAATACCAAATAAAAAATCTAATTACAATTTTTTTCTAATTTGTAAAATAGAGGCAATACAATCGAAAATCGAAAATCGAAAATAGTCATTTGATTTTCCCTAAATATCTTCGAAACCGGTCCTCATGTTCTCGGTTTTAAAATATCAGTAATTTAGTCTTGCAATAGTACAACTTTCTTTCCTATTTAACCGACTTTGTAACTCTTACGGTTTTCGACATAGCAATAGTGTTCAATATAAAAAGTAGCCATCCTGTATATTTAGTTATAGTAGTAGTTAATATGTTATTTTAAATTTAACAAACATCAGATAAAAAAATAAAAAAATAAAATTATAACTAAACGCACCAATACAGTTCCTTGGTCCACTTCCAAATGGCATAAAACTACCTGGAACAATTTTTCTCTTATTCTCCTCACTAAATCTTTCAGGGTCAAACTTTTCCGGGTCAGGAAACAGTATTGGGTCCATGTGAATTCCTACTATTGGCAAATTTACAATTGTCCCTTTTTCCAAAACGAAACTTTTTTCCGATCTTTTGAATGCTTCGATTTTATAATTTTCAACGCATACCCTTAGCAATGCGTAGCCAGGTGGATACCTAAAAATAAACCATTAGAAAAATAAGATATATAAAATATAGAGGGTTTAAAATTTGTTACTTTAAAAACAAGTTTACAGGAACGAGAAAGTATTTTTCTATAAGACGATTTAATTTATGGAAGACTTTTTATCACTTTATAAGAATGTATAGTTAAAGAGAAAATAGTATTTCGACAGTAATATGTCTTTTGTAATACTTTTAATTGACTTTCCTTCATATTTAAGATCATAAAACTGTAATTTATTTAGAACATTTTCTTTAAGTTCTTTAATTTCAACTTCCAACTATAGCTGTTTAATAATCATATTCTTCTTTTCTAATTAGTATTTTTATCAATGGGCTTTTTTTGTATCTCGTATTTCTTATTAAGTACCTAACTATAATTAATATGTTCAGTTTAGATTTTTTTTAGCAGATTTACTGTTAGTGCTTAATTTCTTTCTGCTCCAATTTTGTCTCTAATTAAATACTTTCCAGGATATTCTAGTTGATTTTATTATAAACCAAAGTCGTAACTAATTCATTGTCCTTGTTGTGTAGCCATTTTCTGGGATGACTGCACTGGTGTTAATACCCGTATGATTTTCTTCCTCACCTTCTAGAGTTGAGTAATTGAGTGGAAGAGCAGTTTTTATATTTGCTTATGCAAATCTGAAAGCTGATTATTTTTATTTTTAATAAATTGTACTATTTTTATTTTGTAATTTTCACATGCCAATAAAATCATACCTATTTATTTATTATTTATTCTAGAAGGTAATTCAGAATTATACTTTTTGTGGCAAAGGGCGAAAGTAGTCTACACGCAAAAAATATCACTAACCATTAGCGAACTTTCATTTACCGCAAATAAAAAGTTGTATACAATATGGGACAGGTAAAATGTTTATTGATTGCTTTGTGTATAACTAAAGGACCTATAAGATTTTAATTCTCTTTATTTCTAATACATGACATTGATTATTCCAAAAACATGTCTACTTGACTTTTTCTTTTAAAAACTAATACTGCTAACTATGTATAATTACTGCCCTCCAAGATGACTAATTTAATCCTCTCTACATTCTTCAGCCTCCAAACGAAGTAGAATATTGACGGGTCGTAAAAGAAAACCATATTTGTTTTTAGTTCTACACTTCGAACTTGCTTGTCTCTTCCGGAGAATATTTTGGTAACAGGTCCCAACTCCCAGGAATTTTTCATGTCTGCGTCGGGTATAGCTACCACTTCACCAATTTTAATATTTTTTTTATCGTGCCATTTTTGTCTTTTCTATTGAAGTGAAAGATATTCGATGATCCAATGTTTCCAAAAATGTTGAGATTTAACTTGGGCTATTTTCCATTGTTTTCTTCCGTAAATGTCGTTATCTTTAAAATTTCCTGGGATGTTCTCTATATTAGCTGTACCTATTAAAAATGCATCGGCGTTATAGCTTCAAAATTGTCTTCATTGTCACTAGATATGAAGCTTATTCGTTTTGAATTCACAATTCCTTCTACTTCCGACGAAAGAGTTTGTAAAAGTTCTTCAGATAGATGCATTTTCTTCAGTATTACTCTTAATATAGTTAACATTAAATATCTACTAAGTACCTTCTTTTTCTAAAGTTCTTATTATTCTGTCGGATTTACTTTTTCTTTTTACAGACCTATGGTAAAGTAACATGTATAATACAATAGGAGCATACTCAATTTGTAGCCACTTGATGGCCTTGTAGAGGAGATGCTAATAGTTTCTATTTGGAGTTTGATAGTGAACTGTCACTTGGATTGTTGGATGTGAAGTTAAACTCCTGGCGCCCACTCACAAACATAACTTTTTCTACGACTCACCCCCTTCTTCACTGTTGTTAGTCGGCATCCAACATTTGGATTAATATAAATCCCACCTCGGTGCTTAGGCACAGAAAGTAGGTAGCATTTATTTTTGGCGCCCAACGTGTTACTTTACCATAGGTCTTATTGACCAACCTGATTGTGTAATCAAATAGACAATTAGCAAGTAGGGTCAAATGTAATTTTGTTGTTGTTGTTGTTGTTGTTGTTTGATTGAATTTTTGGACTTTTGAGTCACCTTGGATTTTGAATTTTTTTTTATTGTAAATTTTTGGATTGAAGTCTAGGATTAAGATGGCTTTCAGAATGCAGATTAATAGGCCCAGGTTAGAGACATTGCGTTAGGTACGGTGGAGGAAATGCGTTCTGCATTACCAACAGCTCTTCGGTTGGAGAAGTTCGGAGATAGTATTAGTTTTCCTGAGTATCCTTTCACAGAGGTGGAGGATCAGACTGCAAAGTTAGACATACTTGGAAAATTAGTTGACGATTTTAGAGATTCATCAGGTAGCAGTGCATATTTGAAAATAGAGTCTAGGTTAGGGCATGTTTTAGGTAGGATTGCGCGTATGGAAAAATTGACGCTTGCACCACCACTTCGTTCTAAGGCTTTGGCATTGATTTGTTTGCTGGCAGAGCCTATCAATTTTGCTTGGCTTATCGAAATGAGGTTAGCAATTGGGACGAATTCGTTACTTTGCTCAAGGAGGAGTACCTTTCGCCGACTTATGATGAGAAGTTGTTTGAAGAGATTCGTAGGCGAACACAGGGACCTGATGAGTCTATGGGAATTTATTTAGCGGTGATACTAGGGTACTTTAATAGGTTAACTTGTGTAGTTCCAGATGAGACAAAGTTGCGAATTTTATCAAAATCAGTTGGCGTTAGTGGATGTTACCTCTATTGCACATTTAAGAGAGCTGGGTAGGAAGTTGGAATCTCGTAAGGATGCTGTCGAGAACTTTGTGCCACCATCGAGGAGAAGTTTAGTTTTGGAGCCGGATTTGGCTTATGCACAGGCCGATGATGTTGCTTTGGTGGACAATCGGCCAACAAATTCTTCTAGATCTCCTCAGTCCAGAGTTCAAAATGACGCAACAGTAGTATGTTTTAGGTGCAGGAAGCCAGGTCATCGGGCGATAGGTTGCCTTTTGAAAAGGAGCCTTGTCTGCTTTAGGTGCAATAAGGAGGGGTATACGACAAGAACTTGTCCTAATTATCTCAAAATCGGTCGGGAAATGGAAGCCGGCGTACTTAGATGATCGAGGTAGGTGCGCCGATAGGGATGACTCGATCGGGAAGTTAAAGGTTTTGTTAGATTTTGTGTTAGAGTATGCTAAGGGCGATGAGCAACCCTATTCGAACTTTTGGACAAACCTTTATTAGGATTATTAGATTTTGGAGCCTCGCGTACAATTTTAAGTAGTAAGGGATATAGGGTTTTATTAGATTTAGGTATTTCGGTTAAGAAAAATGTTGATTCGTATTGTACAGTGGCTAATGGTGTTAAGTGTCAGGCTTTAGGAACTGTGGATTTGCCTTTTGTCCTTAGAGGTAAAGTTAGTTTAGTTAATTGTCTTGTTGTTCCTGAGTTACCTCATTTACTTATACTTGGTGCAGATTTTTGGAGGAAAATGGGCATAATACCTGATCTGCGAGCTAGAGAGTGGTATTTCTTAGATGAACGTGTGGTAGTAAATAGTGTAGAGCATGTGAGGAGCCAGACTGCTTTAACAACGTTGGAACAGTCAAGGCTTAAGGCGTTAGTTGATAGGAATCTTGTTCTTATGGGTAGTACTTTAGGATTCACGAATAGAACTGAACATGTGATTGTTACCAGCAGTTTACCTATCAAGCAACGGTATTATAGGGTAAACCCATTTGTGCAGGAACAAATCGACAAGGAGTTAGAGAAAATGTTGGAACTTGATGTTATAGAGCCTTCTAACAGTCCTTGGTATTCCCCCATTTTATTAGGTAAAAACAAGTATGGTTCTTATCGATTTTGTGTGGACTTTAGAAAGCTCAATGCTGTGACGGTAAGAGATAGTTATCCCCTTCCCATGGTTGCTGATACCCTGGATAAGTTGCGAGATGCAACCATAAAGTTAATTATTTACATTGTTGCCAGATCAGCCACTTCTCCACTTATTTCAGAGTTTTTGAGTTGTTCAATAAGGCCAATGGGGGGAATATCAAATTTACCTTAAATTACAAATATGTCATTCATCAATCTAGATCAAGGTAATGTACATTTAAAGCAATTTTAATCTTGAATAGCGTAAAATGGCTTAATCAAATATTAAGGTACAGTATATTTGGAATCACCATAGTAAAAAATATATAGGATTCCCATTTTAATTCACAAAGTTGATACTTGTTACCTTTCTGGTTACCGTTTGTTTATCTTAATAGCAATTTCTAGTAAAGCCTTATAACTTATGTATTTAACAATTTATTTTATCTCTTTTAATAAACGTTTTAATTGCCGTTCTAAAAATAACTGAATGTGTTAAAAATTTGTATACTATACCTTATCAGGGAAATTGCGCTCTGATGATATCGCAACACTGTATTAGTTATATTATTCCATATAACCTCAAAATTTACAGTAGATTTCGCCGGTTAAATTTGTTTATGTCACAGATCACTTAAATTTATGTATTTAATGTTTTATATTGTGTTTGTGTGCACACCTTAGATTTAGATATAAGTTTTAAAATTGTATCGACTCAAGAAAAGAAGGGTGTTTGTTTCTGCATTGTTCCCGACATGTGGAAATATGAAGGAACCTTATTTTGGCCAGGCCATTTAAATTTTTCACAACGAGAAACGTTGTTTAAGTTGTCTATAAAAAAATGTCGAATGTCAAAAAGTAATATCTTTTTGCGAGGCTTCTTGTTGTTTCCCATTTTACACAAAAATGCACTCTAGATAAGTCTAAAAACAAAGTAATTTGCGCACAGATCGACGACACTTTGGTAGTTTTTTTCTTTATTGTAAAGGCGGAAAATGTAGATAGCAGGCCACTAATAGGAAACGATTACTTCATTGTGAATTCTAAAGGTATTAGTAACTTTGAAGTGGCTTTTGTTCCACGCAATATGTAGAAATTACTTAAGAGCGTGGCAAAAACGTGGCAAGAACTACTACAGTTATACAATCAAGTGCCACCACTATAAAGATATATTTATGGTTCCCGAAACGTTACTAAAACTATCAAACCCACTTTAAGATTACTCCCACTTCTAGGTGATATTTAAGTGATATGATTTGGTGGCCGTAACAACTTTTTTCCACATTCAAGTTTGTGCAACTTTAAAGTGGTCCCGCTTAGTGGGTATAACGTTTGAAACACCTTAAGAGGCAACTAAATAATATAACACTTTGAAGTTATTCCCAGTGGTAAAATACACGTGGCTATAACTGGGAAAATATAAAATGAAGTTATTCCCACTATATAGGGGTACATTTAGTGATTATAACGTAATAGTCACGTAATCGAAGTAGCGATATAAGTTGCTGTCACTATAATGCTACTTGGGACTACTACATTTACAGAAAACTTAAGTAGTTTTTCATTTGAATTTAGTATGACTTTCTGCATCATTTCTTTCTCAAAAACGGTGGACCCTGAAACCATATATTTGATTGAGGTTCTATCTCGCCGTTTATATTTTGTAGCCAAATTTGCTGGATTATCTTTAGATCGAAATCCAAATCCAGTTACGTGCTTTTGTTAGTTCTAATACTTCTTGTATCTTGTTAGCCTCTAAGGACTTCAGACCAGGTAATGCTTTAAAGAATATATCCAATTTAAAACAATTTCTAAGTCAGTCCAAAAGTATGTGTCCTATATTTATACCTAGTTTTATTGTTAACTAATTTCCCCAATCTTGTAGCTAAAACGACAGCCTAAATTTCCATACGTAGGATGGTAACTAACTTTCGGCAATAATTTTGCTCTTAGCAAAAACAAAAGCTATCTGGTTATCTTCTTCGTCATGTTAACTTCTATAGTAAGCAACGCAGCAAAATACTCTTTCTCCAGCATCAGCGAATACGTGTATCGAGTAACAATTTTGGTAAAAAAACATCTGCAAATTCTGAAATTCTCAATATTTTTTATTTTTATTTATCCATTCTTCCCATATCATATATAATTCTTGAGGAACTCTTTCATCCCAACCCAATTCTCTTCTCCAGCATTCCTGAAAAATAAGTTTTCCTAGAAAGATCAAGGGGGGACAAAAATCCAAGACGGTCAAATATACCCATTATAACATCTCTTTTCGTTGGTACTTTTTCATTATTTAAAATATCCTCTAAAACTTTATAAAATCTTAATGTAAATTCAAAATTATCGTCTTTTGTGTTCCAATATAAGCCAAGAATTCTATCTAAATTTTTGTAATCCAAATTTATATTATTTCTTTTGCATATATATTCTTCTGGAATACATCTCTTTGATGTATATCAATAACCATTTTTACAGTGTTTAGTGATTTTTTCATAGAATTCTTTGAGTCTAGAAAATCGTTCAAACTTGTTCCAGATACTGTAGCTGCATCATCGAAAACAAACTTTAATTTTGATTTTTCAGGATTTATTACTTCAAAATAAGAAAGATACCATGTCTTGGCATCATCTTCTAAACTGATGGAAGACAGCTTCTGAGCATAACCTTTTGCAAGATATTGTTCTATTTTCTGACAATATTTCTCTGCAAAATTTCAATCTTTATCCATTTTACGTTTCATACATTTTAATCTGGTGTAAGCCATGTTGTATGTTTCTAATAATACTATATTGTTCCCTTTTCAGGCTTTTTCATCATTTTTTGATAGCTTTTTCAAATTTTCATACCAATTTTCTATTTAAAAATGGTATTCAATCATTAATTTTATTTAAATAATCCTAAATTAACTAATCCTAAGCGATAGTCTTGTTGTGAATAAGGGCCATGAATAACCCATCCTAAAAGAGTTTTACTCAATACTAGTTCATTATAGCTTAACTGAATTATTTCTTTATGTAGGTATTAAAAGAGAAACATTGTCCGTACCTATATCGAGGCCTCGGTTTTGCGTCTTTAACCACTTCTAATATATCAGGATCTATGTAGGGATACTTCTAAAAATTCTACATCAAGTGAGTGTTCAAATAAATCTAATTTGCTTATTGTTCGAGCATTTACGATCCTATATAACTTAGATGGATCTTTATAAAAACATATTTAAATCTACTATCTTAGAAACGTCGTCATTGTAATTAATCTGTGTAGCCCATTGCAAATAAATGACAGAGGTAGGCCCTTGCGCTCCAAAATAAATAAAAACGGGTAGCTACGACGCTCGCTCCCTGTAGTTGCAAAATACATTTTCTAATAAATAAATTGTTTATTGATAACGGTTGAATATTGCAGGGAAATAAGAGTGAATTACAGGCAAAAGTTAATACTAATTCGAACAAATATTTCGGCACCCCCCTCTCCGTATTCAAATTATTCCAGCCGGCATTTGATTATCGCCGATTGGTCGAAGGAGAGAGATGTTGGACTGATAAAAAATGTACTACGGCTTCGAGGCGAAACTGTACGATGAAAACACTAAAACTCGGATCCACGATCAAAGAAGCGTTCTCGAATCAGGGAAAAATTCGTGGAATGCTTAAGAGTTAGTTAGTGACGGGAAACGGAATGATTTTGGAAAAAGCAAGAAAAAATAAATAAATAATACTGGGCGGCCTCCACAATGATACAAAAAAATTACAAAATTGGGTTAAACCTCTCATTATAGCGTTGACTAGGGCGTCTTTTAAAGGAGACTGAATAGAGCCGTGAGATTACGATACGCATAAATCAAGCCTCAGTAAAGCTTCGTGTAAAAATTGCTATTAAGGGTGAAATATAAACACTCTTACTATGAATCAAAATTCTCCGGCTATTAAACGGATGTCCCAAACTAAATGTAAATCGAAAATAAGAAAATTTCCTACCTTGAATAACGGGAATAACTCGGGTCACTGTGCACTCGGTTTGTCGGGAAAATAACAAAACTCTCACTGGAGCGGCAAAAACTGTAGACGAAAAAGCGAAGACCAGAGCTTACGGTGGTCTGGAATCAAGAGGAGGAAATTTTATTTCCTCGTCATATTTATGCCTTCTTAGCAGGCAAGCTTAAAGCCCGGCAATTACGGAGTGGGAAATACCACTACCACATCCGACTGTATAATAGTTCAAAAATAAAAAAAAAAGTCCTTTCAGCACCTTGAGGAATACACGTAGATAATTGACATGAAATTGAATATACAAATGCGAGGGTACTCACAATTGTTTCGAAATTAAAATATATATTTTTCAATTAATTAAAAATAAAATTTAGTGATTTCGTCACAATATAGTTAACAAAATACCACTATTTTTAGTTTCCGATGAACGATTTGTAGACAGTGGACTTAAATATACGTTTAGGTCTTGTTTAGGTTTATTTAAATTAAATTGGTAACATTTTTGTAATATCATAATATGTATTTTTCGTTAGTAACTCCCGTTTAAAGTTCGTCTTGGTTGATTTCTTAAACGTTTAACTTCTTCTCTTTTATACTTGATGATATACTTGACAGGTAAATAAATTAGTTGTAATTGACATTTATAGGGAGGACATTTTCACGAATATATTGGGTAGTAATCAACCGTATTCTTACGTATGGCAATAGTTAAAAAAATACGTAATTTGTACCAAAGTGTGTTCCCTGGGCAGTTATAAGAAAAATTGGAAATAATATCATTTTTGAATAAATTTTCTATATTTTTTTATATCTATAAGCACATTCGAATAAAAATAATATATGGAACACGGATGAAAAGTGTATTTACGAGTCGACTACTTCTCGCTTGGTAAACTTCTCATAGTTGCCCGAAAAACTCAACTTTTCGTCCTAATAACATAATAGCTATTTGCTGCTTGAAACAGAAAGTTGTTACTGAGAATCCCACTTCATTCAACACAGGTTCAAGGCAAGTTCAAAATGAAATACTTACCAAACACGTACATATAAAAAAAGATGAGAAAGAATTGAATAAAAATTTTAAATTGTTTTCTTTTTTCGTTTTTCATCAGATTTTATTTTGTTCTAGTATAGTTATAAAAAAATTTACCTTCTTAGTACTTCAGATATTACTTGATCTAAATACTTCATATTCAGTATTTCTTCATAACTAATTATTCCGTTACATCTACTCATCACTTCGTCCACTTCTGCTTGCAATTTATTCTGAACCTCTTCGTCGATTGCAAGTTGATGTGCTAGAAAGCACATCACGTTGGAAGTTGTATCAAACCCAGCTATAAAAAACACCAATGCTTGTGCCGTTATTAAATCATCAGTAAGCTTTATTTTTCTAATAGATTTTCCTATATACGATTCTTGTACGGTAGCGTAACCTGTGTCTTGTTCTGAGGTTTCGTTATCATGTTTCAATTGTCCATATTTGGCTTCCATAAGTAAGTGAATCATATCTGGACGGAATACTTTGTGTTTTTCTCTATAATCCATATTGCTTTTTACCAAATTTTGGAAGAACGATATTATGTTTTGTGGAAATATTGGTACATTTAAAGACTAAAAAAGGAAACGTATATAAATTTTAGAGTTTTATATTATCGATAAAAATTAATGAATAAAATTGCTTCTTGATCGTAGCGTAGCTGTATATAATTAAAGAAATTACTAATGATAATGAAAAAATGAAAGATAAAATCCAAATAAAACTAGATTTAATAGGTTTGTTCCAACAAGAATCCAAATCCATACATAACAGCCAGACTCATGTGCAGTTTTACTTTGTCCTTTCCAACAAGCTTCAAAACAAATACATGAGTGTAAGTCCAGTAATCCAACAAATATTCTGACGAATTTGGGATCGGAATTAAACCGTCAGACTGGTTTGTAGTAGTTTGAGTCTGCGTAGATAGCAGATGAAAACGATACTTTAAAATCTGATAAATTATATCTACAAGTAAGGGCAATTTATTTTAGTGGAAGCAGAGGAAGTATTTACTACTGTTATTATAAAATGGCAAATAATACTATTGAAAATATTGAACAGTTTGACCCTAAAACTGGGGACATTACTACATACATGGAAAGGTTAGAGCATTTGTTTGTTTGCAATTTAGTCGAGGCAGGAATGAAAGTCTCTATGCTGCTTACGTTAATTGGGAGCGAAGCCTATGGTACTCTGAAAGACATCCTTACCCCTGAATTGCCGTCATCCAAATCTTATGTGTAATTAAGGGCAAAACTAATCGAATATTATAGTCCCAAGAGATTGCAGAGCGGTACAAATATTTGATAGCAGTTCAAGAACAAGGGGAAGATATTAAAAGCTTCGTAAAAGGCCTAAAAAGTTTGTCTTTATACTGTGATTTTGGTGCTTTTCTACAAGAAGCTTGGAGAGACAAGTTTGTGTGTGGTGTAAGGTCACAAGCCTTAAAGAAAAAACTATTGTCCATGGATAGGCTTGATTTTGCAAGAGCAGTGTCTGAAGCCCTTGCTATGGAGCTTGCTGAAGGGCAAGTTAAGTCCATGTGGGATAACAGTGCAGGTGAAAGTATTGACAAATTGTCAACCAAAAAAATCATACATGTCAAAGTCAAGTAAAAGTAAGTGGGAAACAAAAAAAGTGACAAAGAAAAAATGTGTTTTCGTTGTGGGGTACGAAGGCATGACCCAATCGACTGCCCAGCAAAAGAGTGGGAGTGCTTTAAATATAAAAGCAAAGGGCATACCAGTAGGGTCTGAAAAAAAGCTGGCATGCATGCTTTGAAAGGTAACATTTATTGTTGAAGATAAGCCAACTAAATTCGAGATTGATAGTGGTGCATGTCGTACTGTCATGTATGACCTGAGATGGCGTGAAAATTATTGGTGAAACAGATGTTTTTGTCAGGGTCAATGAACATATTGTAAATTTACCATTAGTTATTTTAGAATGTAGCTATAAATTTACCCCATTGCTTGGTCGAAATTGGTTGAACGTGCTTAATCCAGAGTGGCGTCAAAATTTAATAGTTAATTGTAATAAAAAATCTCAAATTAACATACAGTCTATTACAGAGTTATGTCAGTCGAGTGATTCTTGTCAGTCAGTAGAAAATGAGTCAGTCATGTCAGAAATGTCCAAAAATGTCATTGTCATGTCTAAGGAGTCAAAGAGTATCCAAAATATATCAAAATCTTCAGTCAATAAGTCAGAAAATTTGAAAAATGGTTTAAACTCTTTGAAACTTGAGTCAAAAATTAAAGATCTAGTGTCTGAGATAAAGAAAAATTTAAAAATGTTTTCAGTGAGAAAAGTAACTCTAGTATTAAAAAATTTAAGGTTGAATTAAAATTGAAAGAGGGGGCGCAACCTGTATTTCACAGATCTTATGACATTCCATATACACTGAAATCGAAAGTAGAGTCAGAGATAAAAAAAATGTGTGAAGTCGGTATTTTAAGGAAAGTGAATTTTAGTAATTGGGCAAGTCCAATTGTAGTGGTACCTAAGAAAAATTCTTCAGAGATCAGGATTTGTGTTGATTTCAAAAAAACACTAAATCCAGTACTGGATGCAGATCATTGTGTTTTACCTTACCATGATGATATTTTTGCTAGTCTAAGTGGAAGTAAGTTCTTCTCTGTTTTAGATTTGAAGGGAGCTTACCAACAACTCGAAGTAAGTGAAAAGTCACAGGAGTTGTTTATCATAAATACTCATCTTGGTCTTTTTGGGTATACAAGATTGTCTTTTGGGGTAAGTTCTGCTCCTGGAATTTTTCAAACTGTCATGGACAACATTTTAGTAGGGTTAAAAAACAATAAATGTTATTTAGATGACATTTTGGTTTTTAGAGGAACTTTACAGGAGTGTCATGACAGTGTAAGAAATGTTTTGAAAAGGCTTGATCAATATAATGTCCAGGTTAATCAAAAAAAGTGTTTGTTTATTGATACTAGTGTGGAATTTTTGGGACACAAAATTGATTCTTTTGGCACTCACCCAACTCTAGAAAAAATACAAGCTATTAAGTCAGCCCAATCTCCAAAAAATCTTACAGAATTTGAATCTTACTTAGGACTTTTAAATTATTATATTAAGTTCATACCCATGTTGTCTTCAAAGTTAAAACCTTTGTATAACCTCTGTAATAAGTAAACAAATTTTTCTAAAGATTGGACTGATGAATGTGAAGAGACTTTTTAATTAAGTAAAGAGTTATTAATTTTAGAAAATGTTTTAACACATTATAACCCTGAGTTAGAGATTTTGGTCACATGTGATTCCAGTAGCTATGGAGTAGGTGCAGTCCTAAGCCACATTATAAAAGGTGTAGAACGTCCTGTTATATTTGCTTCAAGTACTTTAACACATACTGAACAAAAATATAGTAATATAGAGCGCGAGGCCTTAGCTTTGATTTTTGCAGTTAAGAAATTTCATAAATATCTGTATGGGCGCAAATTTGCTCTTATTTTTGACCACCAACCGTTACAATTTATTTTTGCTAAAAATAAAAATATACCAACTACAGCTGCATCTAGAATCACCCGATAGGCAATTACTCTGTCAGGTTATCAATATAATATTGTTTACAAAAAAAGTAGTGCTATAAGCAATGCTGATGGCTTATCACGTTTACCCTTGCCCGGACAGACTGAAATCCCTGATTTTATTTATTCATTTAATCTAGTTAACGAAATTCCATTAAATGCGGATGACATAAAAAAGGCTACTAATAAGGATTTAGTCTTTCTTAAACTAAAAGATTTTATTCTGTCAGGCTGGCCAAGTAATGTACAAGATGATCAATTAAAACCATATTTTAAACATAAAAATGAATTATCCATAGAGAATAATTGTATTCTATTTGGTAATAGGGTAGTTATACCACCTCAATTACGACAAGAAATTCTTAATCTTTTTCATGAACAACATACAGGAATTGTACGTACCAAAATGCTTATTAGATCTTATTGCTGGTGGCCTAATATAAATTGTGACATTGAAAAATTTATATCAGCTTGTGAAATTTGTTAACAACACCAAAATTTTACTAATAGTAATCTACTTTTGTCATGGGCAGCAGCTCCTCATAATTTTTATAGGGTTTTTATAGATTTCCTAAAGAAATTTGATTACATCTTTCTGCTTCTCTTTGATCAGATATCTAAGTAGTTGGAGGTTAAGTTAATGAACAATGGTACAAATGCTTCTGAAACTGTTACTAAATTAAAAGAAATTTTTGCAACCTTCGGTTTACCAGTAGAGTTAGTATCAGATGGAGGTCCACCATTTAATTCAGTAAATTTTGTTTCTTTCTGTCAAGCTAATGGAATTACTACCATTAAATCACCTCCAGGACACCCACCTAGCAATGGTTTTGCCGAAAGAGGTGTTCAAATTTTAAAACAGAATTTGAAAAATCTTTGATTTCAGAAAAAGCAGAGAACATCACAGAACAACAAGTTCTTTTGCAACTTTTAAATTTTCTTTTTTCATATAGGAACACGCCTATGACATCTACAGGTATGTCTTCTTCTGAAATGCTATTAAAAATTAGACCAAGAACAAGATTTGATCTTTTGAAACCCACTGGTCACAGTAAAAATGTTAAAGGAGGTTCTGCTAATGTCTCTCGTGTAAAAAAGTTATTTAAGCTCAATGAATCAGTATATGTAAAAAATAATCAATCCAAACAATGGCAGAAGGGTAAAATTGTCAAAATTTTAAGTTTCTGTACTTATTTCTGAATTTTCCAGAAACTAGGAGCATAAAGCTACTTTTATTTAGTGTTTTTATCTAATATTAGCTAACTTTATTTCTTGTTCAAAAAATGTATATTTGAGTGCTTTAGTTGTATTATTTAATTAGCGATTACAATATTGAACGTACATAGTAAAATATAAAATATAAAAAATGTATGCGCCAATTTGCAGGACGCAACGGCGCTCATGCAGGTTGCAACCGCCCTGTGTAAATGAAACTGTTGGTTAAAAATGGATCTAGGACTGTTTTTTGAATGACAATTTTTCGAACGACAGTTTTTCTAAGGACAGTTTTTCGAATGGACAGTTATTCGAACGGATGGTTCTTCGAACGGCCACTTTTTCGAAGAGCCCATTGTTCGAACAGACCATTTTTCGAAAATACCACATACTTTGATTTTCTTTTACTATACGGAGAATGGTCGCACTGCGCAGCTTTCTGAGTGCCTTTTAAAAGGAGAAAAGGAGAAAACTTTGCCATTTTGAACCCTTATTACGTGTTGCCTACATCTTGGCGCAATATTTTTAATAGGTGCGTTTTAATCATCCGCTTCTGCTTCGGAATTGTCGGTTTTCTTGTTTTAATCTGACAGGTTAAAACGACTAAACCGACAATTCCGGAAGCAGAAGCGGATGATTAAAACGCACCTGATATTTTGCTTGCTGCTGTCAGTGTCAGTGAATATAATTTTTGAAGTCACAGTTTATTGCTAAAGAATCAGTTAGCTCACTCGGACCAGTTGAAAGTTCCAAAATAACATCCACTCCAGGGATACAAATTCAGGATACGCAGAAGACTGCTGTTTTATTATAGGCGGTTGTCATATATTGTATTATTCGAGTTGCACAGTGTATAAACTGAAACATTGAGATCCAAAGTGCCGACGCAGAGTGAACGATCTGATTCTTTAGCTGTAAACTGTGTCACAGGGTTTAAAATGGCCACGCCCTATGTTGGGCGTGTCGGACCTCTCTCTTGCCTCGTATAGTAATCAAAGTATGTGGAAAATACATTATTGAGGAATGATAAAGTGTAGGTAATTTAAACAAAAAACATTTGGTGTCGCACCTGAAATTCAATTTAGATAAATTTTTTTTTATTTAATTTTTTTGATGACCTGACACAGGTGCAACACCAAAACGTCAAAAATAAAAAGCGTTTTGTATAAAAATAATGATTTTATTCCAATTAATTCTTTTCAATACATGACTTATTTATAATACACTATATAACAAAAGAAACGAGGAACTTATTTATAAGACAAATTACCAGCTATACGATTTAAGTATTCTATAGGGTCTTTAGGAGAAAACTGAGTGATAATATTTTGTAATCTAATATTTAATTGTAAGTACTTCGTTTTCTTTGGCACAGCGGGAGTTCCACAGTAAAATTGAGAAATTCTCATTTCAGTTATGGATTATTCGCGTTGAATCGCGGTAATAAACTTCCATATTGTGGGATAGCTAGCCGAAAGTTGGCTTTCGAAGGCAAGATGCCAACCTTCAATGTGGTTGTTAGTCTTGGGTTGACTGTTTAAAACATTATTAACACAGTTCCACATTTCCCAATCAAACAACGGTGACCTTCGACGACCGCGACGAATCATCCCAATCCATGTTTCCTCAAAGTAGTCCAGAACCTCGGTAGCTTCTTCTGAAAAATCATCGCTTAATGCATTAAAAAATGGCTGTATGTATTTTGTAGATACGAAAGCTAGTGAAGCTAAAATCTTCATGTGCTGTGCAAAGTTTTTGTCGGTGTCATATTGCTGTTTAAAGCCAGCTGTTTGAATTTTTCTGTAAATTGCCTGTGAAAAGTGGAAGAAACATCCTTGTATAGTTGCATTCGGAAATTCTTGATGTATCGCTCCTATCATCGCTGCTTCAAAATCTATTAGAACCGATTGCGGTCTAAGAGCTGGTGCTAGATCTTTAAGGGCCGAAATTAACTTTATGTAAGTATCTTTTGATTTATCAGGTAGAAGTGCATATACCAGTGGTACGGATTCCTCGTTTATAAATGTATGTATGGTGTAGAGCTGGTAAAAAAGCATAGGTGCAGTCTTAAAAGTTCCATCCATGTATATTGAAAGGGATCGTATTTAATTCCGTCCCCGTTGAATAAAACCAAAGTCGTGGATGCGCTGGAATAGAAACAGGGAATCATCGCATAGGAACGGGAATTATTTATGGAATGTCAGATTTTGAACGTAGAGAGAATGGAATGTCGCGATTGTTAAAAAGGTGTAGGTTTTTTGTTAGTTTTATTTGTGATAAAAATGTAAGTGCCCTTTTAAATCAATTATTATGTTTCAATTACTTTTATATTATTTATCTAGTTGATGGTTCACTATTTAGATTTGAATTTCACTGATATAAGTAATTTCATGTTTTTTTTTCTTGACGGCAGTTTTTTGTATCTGTCATAAAAAATTGCTTGCATTCCAATTACGAGTTTATTTGATTTTATGACTTATTTTACTATCTAAATCAGTGAAAAATAGCATCCTTTTAATATTTTAATTTAAATATTTTTGAAGTTTATTGATATTTGGTAGTTATGCTAAGGAAAATTTGCTATAATTTTTATTTGACATTGAGATTATTTTTTTAGTCATTTTTAAAGTTCGGCAAGGGAAAAGTAATATTATATTAGTAAATTATGTGTTTTCCTAACATCAGATATTCACAGCATTGGCAGATCTAAGTTAAAAGTATAAAATGCCTTGTTGATTGATACTAAAATTTTCCGCCCGTGGCTGGGACAACATCGGGATAGGTGTCCCGGTAACTTACCTGATTTTGTCACCAGAATATTCAACTTTAGGTGGGTAGTAAAGCTGTAGAGTTTCCCCATTACCTTGTCCCTAATAAACCTTCTTCAGTTTTGCATCGAGTGTGTTTGAACCTAGTAATGCTCAATGTTTGTTATCTGATGAGTTATTGTTCTTAAAATATTTATTTTATTTTTGCCTTGCAGCCTTAAATATTGTTTTTTTTTATACATAATGTATTGAATATTATTTCATATATTTTCCTGTGTATAACCTAAATTGAATATTATTTCATATATTTTTCTGTCTTTAACTAAAACATCAAGTAATTAAATGTGTTTTTTTATATATATACTTTGTATCCAAATTGACGTTTGATTGGTTTTATTGTATTTATTATAACGTTGGGGTTTTCTTGCTGGTTCTTTCCCCTCATTTGATAAACTAATTATTTTTTTTATTGCACCGAACCAGACCTATATTTAATCTTTATAAATATATGTTATATACTTATAAATTTTTACATTCTGATTCTGTCATCTATAATATTTTCAATAAAGATTAGATATAAATCAATAGATGTTTTCTTTTAACCTTTACCACTCCCTCAATAACACGTAAGTAGCCAATAGATAACGAATCTTTCAGTCTGTCACTCGTGGTGTCCTAGTCACTTCATAGTCGATCACGCCGCCACTTTCTTTATTTCAGTTGGTTACACTACAATATGTATTCAGCTTTTTGTAGATAATCCAGGTTGTCTTTCGTGCTGAAAATCTGAATTCGTTGTTTGTTTCCAGAATCGAAAAGTAGAAATGGTTCGCCTTTTGTGGTGGTTTTAAAAGAATCAGGTAGATACAACTCCTCTAGACTTTTCGGCTGTGTGGGTTCCATGTTTTCTTTCACTCTTTCTCTGCGTATTGTTCGCTTTAAACTATTTACTTTACTTAGTTTGGCTGCTGTTAGTTTGTCCACTTCACTTGATAGTGCCGATACTAGGTAGTGTGGAGTGTTTCTTGTTGTCCGAGCATTGTCCTTCAGTTTATTCTTAAAACGCATGGCATCTACTTCTGCTGCATCCGCGGGGTGGTTGTGAGAAGTCTCTTTGCAAACATCATCATGGCTTGTAATTGCTCGCTATTTACATTTCTTAGCCAAAAAGAACTCGCACTTCCAATATGTTTTTTCATCAACGGCTTTGTCTTTAACGAATAAAAATCCGTTCAAAAATAACTTTTTTTCCTTTTTCACTAAAAAGGAATTCGAGAGGCATCTTTATAAACACTAAAATCAGACTGAATACACTGTCAAAATGTCATAATAATGTCATAATAATTACCTGCTTATTTATTAGAAGGATGGCATTTAATCTGAACCATAAAACCCTTATTTAAAAGATTACAATTTCTCAAAACTAAATTTATTATGTATTATTATACTAATTAAAATTAAATTAAATAAAATGAAACCTTACTTAGAAGATTACTTGTTCTCAAAATTCAATGGGATTATAATTACGGTGACCATATGTACTCATTTTAGTAGGACAGTACTTTCTTTTAGAAAATGTCCTTCTGTCCTATAATATTGTTGCAAGTACATACAATTTTACTTATTTTCAGAAAAGGGACTCCTCCTAACCTTATATTTTATAATTATGTTACTCTTTTTTAGAGAAAAATGATGTAAAAATTCGATAATTATGTTACATCTGGCAAAACTGGCCGTGATATACGCAAACGATACGTTAACGTCGTTATCCGTCTCACTCATATGCAGGTTTAAATTAATAGCGATTTAGGGATGTTCGTCGTAGAGCTGTTAGAGAGTTATTTATTACAAGTGCACTTAAGTCACTATGAGTGAAGCTCTTATTTTGACATCTGAGCATGCGCAAATCACTTACATTCTAGAACTGACTTTAATAAAGATTGTGCCTGTCCTTAATTCTGATTAGCGAATGCGTTCGAAAAAAATCTTATTGTACTTTTTCTTTTAAAAAAAATTATGGTCACCGTAATTATAATACTAATTAAAATTAAATTATATAAAATAAAACCAACTTATTTCGAAAAATTGTCTATTCGAAGAATCGTACATTCGAAAAATTATCAGTTCGAAGAATTGTCTTTTCGAATAACTGTCCATTCGAATAAATGTCGTTCGAAGAACTGTCGTTCGAATAATTATCATTCGAAAAACTGTCCGGATCCCGTTAAAAATACATACCTAATTAGAATTAATTTCGTCTTGAAAAATTATATATAAGTATTTATGTACGTTTACCTGATAAAGTTTTGGCAATAACATCCCCAAAAATAACTTAAACCTAGTTCTAATGGTCGGGTTGGCTACTTGGTGGCCCATAGCAAAAAAATCATTGTCTTCATTTTTCAAAGTATCACATTCGATTCCAAAAGCGCAAGTAGCGATGACATCGTTGGAAAATTTGGAGAATTCAATTTTAATATCCATATCTATAACATCTTCTGGCAGGTTATAAAAATGGTTTGTAAATTTTTCAGCAGTTTCTGCAAGGAAAAAAGTATGATGTGAGATCCATAGTGTTTCTATAGAACTAACCAATCACTCGCGTTAGGTCTTACAATAACAATAATATTGGGGTCTATTCTGTAACAATTCCTTTATATTTAACGGCCTTTAAAAATATTGGCGACCTTTAAAAATGTGTTTGTATTCGTTAATTTACTTCTGTCATTATTTAAACAGATTTCTTTAAGATAGTCCTCCAATGTATTTTAAAGATCCGTTTAAATAATGACAGAAGTAAAGAAGAAAATATTTTTAAAGGCCGTTAAATATAAAGGAATTGTTACAGAATAGACCCCATTGTGTATTATTAATGATGTAAAAAATAAGCCAAATATAGTTATTTATAGACTAAATACCTAGTTTCTAAAAAAATATTTGAGAATATTTTAAATTCGGCAACACTCTAATACGTAATTTGACCAGTAGATTCCAAAAATATAAAACATACCGGACGATCAATTTAAAAAATGTAAGTTGTTGGTGTATTTCCGGTGAAATCGGAAATCGGTCATTTTTTTTAAGTATAACACAGATAGCATACGACGTCTTGGTTTGGTCTAATGTCCTAGGACGTTATTAAGACGTCTTACAAGACGTCTGGCAAAAGCCATAATTCAGGCGTATTACCCAAGCAGCAAGGTGCTGTCATTATGACGTGATTTTTTGGGTTTACTCGTCAGAAACGTCACTATCCCAATTAATGACGTTACTTTAACGTCGTTTTTGTTACGTATATTAGACGTCAAGATAGACTCGTCATTATGACGTAATTTTTTAGTATTAATTTATCCGAAATACAATATCCTAATCAGTAACGTGTATTTGACGTCGCATTGATGACATAGAATAGAGGTCACTTAGAATTCGTCATAATTACGTTATTTTTTCGTATATTACTGGCAATGTCATATGTCAATTGTCATTGTTGTTTCCTGTTTCCTCCATCTTCATGAATCTTGTGACAGCCGTGACTTCGTGAACGTGGTGCATTTCTAAATTGTACTTTATTTGATAAGATGTTTTTGAAAAAGGTAAAAAATAGAATGTGACAAAATAAAGTATATTAAACCGAATTTGGTATTTTACAGATGTATGGCATTGTTGAGTTTGAAAAACCGGATGAAGTAAAATACCACTGATGCCATAGCGACGCCCGAAACACGACCCCTACCGGACCATTTTTCCGGCCCGCACGGGGAATTCCAGTTGTCCGTGAACTTTTCGACCACAAACCCGACTTTGGCTTTAAAATGTACCTTCAAACACGTCTCATCTCGTAATCCACCTCTCAGGCCATATAGAGGTCATTTTTGGCCCCTGGGGCCAATTCTAGACATGGTGGGCTATTTCTGAGCAGCTCGGGATCGGATCCAGCGTCGAAAAATACATGGGAATACACATGTCCGACCGCTAAGTCTAAACACTTTTGTTTTTGTGGGTCTGTGTAATGAATTGAATTTAATAGTAAACATTTTCATACAAGATTTAATTCAGATATTCGTCAATTATCATGTTTTTTTTTGTTTTTATGGAGATTTCGAAAACTATTAGATAGCCATTTTGAGTAAAGTTAAAGTGAAATTATCAAAGTAGGCGATTAAGCATAATAGCTCATCTTGTCTTATTGGATTAGTTATAAAAATTCATTGATTTAAAAAATTGTAAGAAATTATTTTTTCTGTGACTAGAATACTCTTACCTAAATTTCTTGTTAGGAGCTGCTAATAATACAAAGGCAACTGCAAATCAAAAAGAAGGAGGAAAATCAATCAAGTCATGGCTAAAGAGGAGAGATCGAATGCGTTACAAAGAAATAATAACTTTTAGTGACCTGTGATTAATAGATATTTTATCAATAAACATATTTAATTCTCTTTTTTGCATTCTCTATAACTTGCAAGATTATTTTACTAATTTTATTAACCAGGGTTATAGAATTAGCGGAATAAAAATAATGAACGTATTATTTACGACTTGAGGCTAACCAGACCATTATAAGCCATTAATATTTTAAGTCCATTATAAGCTATTAATGTCGTCTTAAAGACGTCTTATTTATGGCTTATTTAAGGCTTCACAAGACCATTATAAGCTTCTAATAAGTCGTCTTAGAGACTTATAACAATTTATAACGTAAATATGTATTCCTAGATATGCATGCAGTACAATATTGAATCTCCAAAAAAATATTATAATCATCTTTTAAAGAAAAGTGGCATCTCTCCTTTCCATTTTTTGCGCGACGCTCGAGGTACGCGTACGGCAGAATGTCTCGTTTGTCTTACGTCAGTTTTAGTAAAAGTGGTTTAGTAGAATATAAATCAGTTCAACCTGTTATATTAAATAAAGTAATATTTTTAATAATATTGTCTTTGCAACTTCTGGTTTTTATTTGATAAAGTGCGTGATGCTCCTTTACCATACCACTTATTATTTAATTCTCTTCAGAAGAAAATTTCTACATTTCATCACTTTTTAATAGCACCCATTGGCTCGTATGATTGAACGTTTACGTTATCCGTAACGTACATGTTAGGCCGAGTTTTAACAGTAACAAGGCAAGTTCGTAAGATGGAAAACTTTTTCCAACACATTACTGTTATTTTCCGCCTGTTATGTTCTAATTTAACAGGTTTCCATCATAAGAACTTGCCTCGTTACTTTTAAAATTTGGCCTAACATGTACGTTACGGATAACGTGAACGTTCAATCATAGGAGCCATTGTCGCTTGCTGAAAAGTTACGCAAGTCAATGTCGATGTCAATAGCCGAATTCCGCGCTAGGGGTATATTATTCACTTGTTTTTCAGTAAGTATTATCAGTTTGTATGTTCAATATATCCAATAAAATTACAATTGGACACATTTACAATGATTTTTTTGATCACATACCGACCTTGTATAAACGGAAACATTCCTTTCATTTTGGAACTCGTGAAAGCTGGTGATAATGTCGATCGCATATCTTTCCATTTCTCCCCTTTTAGTTCGAATAAATTCTGGCCCAGAATTGGATCTGTTTTTTCGTTAAAAAATGTAAAATGATCTGTAAAATAGTCGAAATCCTTGATGGTGATTTGTTTGATAAGGTCGAGATCTCTGACAACTAGAGATGGTGCGAATAACTGGTAGCTTCCATAGAATCTGTAAATAAGAAGTAGATATAATGACAAATTAAATAAATATACAGGGTAATATTGAAATATACGTTGTTATTAAAACATGCTAAATGCCGAAAATGCATTGCTATTTTATTAAAAAAAAATTCTTTGTAGGAATAAAACATATCTGTTTTTAAAACTTTTTATTATAATTATTTTTATTTTTATTTTTATAATCAGTGTTTATTTTGTTTTGAATTTATTTAATTAAATAAATTTTAAAACAGATAGAATATTTACCATGTACCTAACAATATTCGGTCTCATATTACAGTGCACGCCAAAAAATGATGTGGCATTAATAACATTTCGCGTATTCATAAATCCAGGTCTTAAACAATACAAGAAACCCACGTGATCTGGTAACATCAAAAACAACTTAGATAATATATTGACAGATAGGCTCCCCCTGTAGAAATCTATACAATGTTGATGTCGCTCTAATAAAATCATTGTTTCTTTTTCTAATGCAGGCTTTCTCGCTCATATTAGAATCTTCAGCACTGGGTTATTTTAAATGTGAAAATAGTGACTCCAAATAGATTAAAAAAGTAAAAAATAATGTTTTAAAAGATAGGTACGTTTTTATTCAACTGAAAACAAAATATGACATTATTGTCATGTCAAAAAATATAATACATATTTTATTGCTTCTAAAATATTTAGAATTACAGCAAGGATTTGTAATTCTATAAAATATCTATACCTGTTGAAAGCTATACAATGGTAGAACTGAAGAAATACATAAAGCATTTAATATGAACATGACAAAATATTCCTAATAAGAATAAAACAAACCAATATATATTTACCTATTTAGCATAAGTAGAAGTATTTCAGGATATTAAAAAAATATATAGGAATTTAAATTACTTTTCTAATGACTTCGTTTGAAATATAAATTATCTAGTTACTTTATTTAAATTAGGTAACTAAATATTCTTATATTACTGATGATAGTTTATATTTTAGACCATGTACATATATATACACTATGTGTTTAAAAACTAATAATTTTTTTGATATTGCACATACTTTTTCACTCATCTTAATTGTGTCTGTAATGTTTTATTTCCGTCCCTTTCCCCGGACAAGCTCAGCTTTTGGGGTTAAAATTCACTCGTAAGGGGGTGAATTAGGGAGAGTATTATTATTATTATTATTGTTTTATTTCTGTTTCGTAAGTTTGAAGCAGTACTGTTGGCAACAAAAAAGTCTTTGTAATGACCGATTTTCCAGAAATTTCAATGTAAAGTTACCAAAATATCTAGGTTTTCTGAAATAGGTATTCATATACAATTTAATGTATCAGCTTAGATCAAATCCAATGTTTGCTTTACTTCTTAATTAATGGTGACTCAAATTTTGTTGTCATACCTTGAACTTAATATTAAAGTGTATGAGGTACTTTTGTTCAAACTATAACTTCTTCTATTTGTTGGCAAGTTTAATACTCTTAAAAAGGCCCATAACCAAATAATTTAGTATCTGAAGAAATTACTATACTAAAAACATTCAAACATATTATTGGTTCGCCAAATTTATTAAACACAATACCTTCTATTTTTTTAGGTGACATGGGTTTACCACCACTCTTTTTTTCCTACTTTGTTTGTGTAATACAAAGTTCCTAAAAAGTACAAACTTATAAATAAATTTGTTGCAGCAAAGCCGTTCTCTAAAAAGTGCATTGAACAAATGTAATATATTCATTCAACTTCTAACATTTCAGTCCATTCAAGCGCCTCTAACCACAAGTTTCTTCTAATTCGTATTTTAGAACACTAATAATAATTTTATTTTTTTTAATATGCATATTTTATTTTCCTTTTTTTTTCTCCTAAAACGATGCCCATGTTCTTCGGTAAAAAATAATATTAACGAGTGAAACGTAACCTCACTTCCTCTTTTATGTTTAAAATCACATAAAACACAAGTTCTTTCCTAGTATAAAATAAACCCTACAAATCAAAGTCACTTTTAACACCACCATACTTGAACGAATTTAAGTAAAAACTGGAAAAATAAATATAGAAATAGAGATAGAGATATTAATCTATTTCTCTCTAATTAGAATCTTTAATGCGATATCAAGGCGACAAAAAAATTGTTTATTGTCCTCTCTGTACTACTCTGAGAAAAACACAGCGAAAGGGCCTGATTTGGTTCGTTATATGCCAACCATTTCTTAACAATAAGAATATATTATAATGAAGCTAACGGCCCATTGTCTTCAGTACATCGTATTTTTGTTGTCAAGCACCTCATAAGTGATTGGATGGTAGCAACATCGATTAACGAATCTTATAGTAAATGCTCCTTCTTCATTATTTGTTTTCTGTTTACCATCCATTATCATAGACTTTCCTGCTTAATAAGGCTGAAAATTCTTCGATGGGGCGTGCTTGGAGTGCATCAGGTGGATTATTTTCTCTAGGTACAAATGGAACATTATTGGCTTCCAACTAATCTCTGGATTGCCTGGCATAGGAACCAGATGCTAGATCAGGCATAAACATATTTTCATCATTATTGTGATGTTTGTTTATAAATCGTAACAATTTAGAGAAACATCTTTGTAAATAAAGACCTGCAGTAATGGCTTCTCCTTTAACATGTCCTAAATATTTGACCGCGATACACCTGCCGAAAAAATGGCACACCACAACAGAATTTTAACTTCAAATTTAGGTTTTTCTTAAATTTCCCATTATCCGACAATACTGTCAAAAATATAATTAGCGTTCATTGGGTCTATGGGTATATTTATATTATTTAAAAGTTGATTTTTTGCATTTTGTCACCACGCTTTTCTTCAATTTTTCCTCAAATAATAATAAACCAATCAGTTCTTTTTAGAGCTTATTCGTGCCTTCATTATTTTCTGTCAGTAAGTGTTAATTTGTTTACTTTTATACAAGTTTATTGAAAATATAATTTACAGCTCTAAATGTTTACACCGGAACAAGATTCTTTTATTTTAATAGCATTTTAGAAGTGGATTTCGAAATGATGATGAAACTTGGTCATATTCAATTCAGAGTTGCATTCAACAATTTGAGGAAAGTTTTCCAGCTGTAAAAATAGAATATGATAGTTTTCGTCATCATAGACATATTCTTGTTCAACGTTTTGAAATGAAAAATTGCATTTGTAAAGGAAAAGGGTTTGGAAGGCCCACAGTAACAACCGATGCTAAAAAATTAAGAATCTACCCAATAAGGATCCCGGTCCGGATAAATTACCTACATGTTTTATTTAAAAAATGTAAAAACTCCTTGACAGAACCCCCGTTTCTGATATTTAATAAATGAAGGAAGGGAGGTACATTTCCGGATAAATGGAAAATGACTTTTGTTGTTCCGATTTATAAATCTGGAAGCAAAAATAAAGTTGATAATTTTAGACCCATCTCTAAATTAGGTATTTTTAGTAAGCTAATTGAAAGTATTATCTTTGATTTTCTTTTCTATGATGTGAAAAATATTATTAACATCGAGCAGCATGGCTTTATTAAAAAACGTTCGGTTGATACAAATTTATTTCTTTACATTGAAAAGCATAAATGACAGAATTATTGTGGACTTGATTTACACCGAGTTTAGCAAGACATTTGATACAATTGATCATTCAATTCTTACTTCGAAACCTGCTGGCATCGGGGTCCAGGGTAGTCTACTAAGATGGCTCGACTCTTATGTTAGAAATATATTACAACAAGTAACATTAGGCAATTTCAAGTCCAATCCTGTTTTTACCACTTCTGAAATACCCCACTTAGGACCCTTACTCTTTAATCTATACATCAACGATATTTCTACGTGTTTTAATTTTGCTATATTTATCATGTATGCTGTTGATTTAAAAATATTTCACTCAATAGCATGTCCCAATGACAGAGTTTTACTCCAACATGATTTGAATATATTGTTAAATTATTGTCGGCAAAAGAACATTTTTAAATACATCTAAATGTAGTAATATACAATTTTCTCGCGGTAATAATATATTGAACAATATCTTTACTATCTCTAATTGTGTTTCTCCCCGTGTAGATAATGTTAAAGATCTAGGTATTATTCTGGACTTAAAATTAATTTTTCATGAGCATATCTATATAATGCAGCTAATAAGGCACACAGACAATAATTAGGTTTTATCTTTAGATCTTGTTTGAACTAAAAAAACCACATACTGTGTGAACCTTGTCAACAGTATTCTCGTGTATGGCTCTGTCATTTGGAATTTCCAGTACTTGATTTTTATTGACAAATTAGAATCCATACAAAATAAGTTTATTTCTTATTGCCAGAGAAAATTTTACCAGCATATATCAGAAAGACAAAATATCCGTTGCAATTTAAAAACCATTAAAAAAATGTGTACACCTGACTCGAAAAAATTGTTAAGAAAAGAAAAAAAAATTAAGACAGAAGGGAAAAAAGAAAAAAATAGAAAGAAAAAAACAAAAAAATAGAAAAAAAAAAATAAAAAAAAATAAAAAAATAAAAAACAAGCAAAAATATACAAAACATTTAAACCATATTAAGTTCAGGTTATTCTAGTTATTAAGGTTAAGCAACTTTAATGTAATTTGTAAAATAATAAAGTTTGTTATATATTTTTATAAAAAAAAAAAAAAATTAGTCTTGAGCAAAGCAGGCAAATAGCAAATGTACGGCAGCGTAGAAGGGCCACCTATTTTTATTTTTAAAATTCCGTGTTCGAACACGGAATTCCTTGTACGTACACGGAATTCTCTGTTCGAACACGGAATTCCGTATTCAAACACGGAATTCCTTCTTCGAACACGGAAATTTAAAATTTCGTATTCGAACACGAAATTTCCGTGTTCAAACAAAGAATTCCGTATACAAACAAGGAATTCCGCGTTTGAATACGGAATTCCGCATTTGAATACGAAATTCTGTGTTTGAATACGGAATTTCGCGTTTGAATACGTAATTCGGTGTTTGAATACGG